CGGGGTTTGGTAAACCGGTAAAAAAAAAAAATTATTTTTTATTTAAATAACCCCTCTTAAAAAAAAAAAAAAAAAAAAAAAAAAGAAGTAGATGTATGTTTCACTATTTGGTAGTCTATATGATGTAGAGAAAAGGCGTTATAATAAATAATAAATACATACGACGAAAAAATTATTGTTTTTAGAATGAATAACGAGAGAAAAGAGAAAAAAAAAACAAAAAACATTCGTCATTCGTTCAATAGAAAATGATGCATGAACTTTCATAAAAAAAAAAAAAAAAACTTAATCACTCCATTACTTTTTTTTTTTTTTTCTTCACAGGACTAATTACTAAAAATCAGTGAAAATGCTTTTTATTGTGAATCGTCTATGATGACATTGTCACATATTGCATATACAACACTTTTAAGTTTTCTTTTTTTTTCGATCAATTATACGTACATTTAATTCTGTACAATGTTTCTTCTACATATATGTCCATTATGTTCAATGGAACGGAATGTTCAAAAACATATTTCTTTTTAGTTGAAATATATAATAAAATTAGAGAGACATGGTCATATGGGATTTTTGTCATTTAACCAAAAAATAAAAAAACAAAAAACGACTGTTACCACTTGATATTATATTAAAAGCAAAATCAATTATCTTCAGTTTAGAATAAAGTGATTATTTATAAACAAAAATAGTTTACAGTTAAGAAACGAAGTGTTTGAGATTTGTCAAATAACGAAGAAAATTCTCCTCTCCTTCTCTAATTTCTCTAACGACAAAAACAAAAACAAAAAATGGTATTTTTTACTTTTGAAAAAAAAAATCAAAATTTTAAATTTTGATTGTTTTTCTTCAGTATATTGTTCAGTACTCATATATTTTCAGTATTTCATTGATCAAATTCGTTCTAGTTCTATAGAGTACGTTTTGACCAATGAATATTATTTTTTATTTATTGTTGTTGTTGTTGTTTTTGTTTTTGTTTTTCGAAAAAGCGGTGCTTAATATTTCAGTTGATTTTAGTCAACCCTACGTCATTTGAGGAAAGTGATGTTGAGTGTTTTCTGAAACTATCTCGAATCTTTTATCTATTTATCTAGGTCTTTTCTCGGCATCTCTCTCTCTCTCTCTCTCTCTCTGTTGTTGTACTAGTTATTACTATTACTATATTTTCTTCATGAATTCGTTTTTATAAAAGCTTCTTTTTTATATAATAATAATAATGATAACATATATCATTGCGAAAAGGAAATTTATTTTATCTCTTCTTTTTTTTTCTTATTCGACTTATGACTAAGTATGATCGTATGAAAATTTACGGTCGATTGAACACTTTTAAAAGCGGTCAGTAGTAAAAAAAAAAAAAAAAAAATATTAAAATTTGGTCTCACTATATACATCATAGTAAAAAAAAAAAAGAAAAATATATTTCAGTGTCACATTTATCTTATCATCTGTACTGATAAGATCTGTAATCGACTTACTAATTATGAACGCACACTTTTCTTCTTTTTTTTTCAAAAATATTTATCTTACGTTTTGTTATATTCGAAGTTACTCACTGTTACTGATGTAATTGAAATCAAACTAATGTGTAAATCTATGAGAGAAAATAACAAAAATGGGATTTTTCGTATAGAAATAATATTTCTTTATGGAATTTTTTAGAGTAATCAACAGAAGAAAAATAAAAAAAAGATGATGATACATATTCAACGAAACATACTCTAAAATTTTGAATCTCATCATTTGTCAGCTATTTTAAAAAAAAAAAAGAATTATTATTATTCTCTCTATGAGAGGAGACCAAACAATGATTATTACTATTATTATTATTATTATTATTATGTTGATTTCTAGTCAAAAGTAAACATTGAAATAAATTACATTTTCATTTTCTCTGCAATGTGTCAGTCAACATTCTTGATATTTATTTATATTATTTGCTGTTGCTATGAAGAGAATAGAATAATAATAATAACAACAAAAATATATATAATCTAAAGCACGATTTAGCTCTTCTCTTTCCTTTTCATCTTATCACCTTTTATCAATGTATTTTATTTTTTTGATGTAACGAAGGAAAATAAACAAAGAAAAAAAAAAACTAATAAATTGTGTGTACATAACAAGCGATACACGTATACGAAAGATAGGATGCATAAATACAACATTTTTTTTTTGTTTCTTTTCTTTTCTATAATTTTTCATTTCTCAATAGAAATTGAATATATATATATATAGATAACAAAGAAGAAGAAGAAAAAAGAAAACAAGAGAACGTTGCTTGAACACAACAGAAAGGTACAACTCACATCTGATTTATTATCATAAGAAAAAAGTTTTTATTCGAAACATTGATATCACTCACTTGAAGAAGTCTTTTTTTCTTAACATAAAAATGAATCGTTTCGTATGATATTATTAGTGTAACTATAGGATAAGTTATTTCATCGATTCACTTGTCTAATATAAAAAAAAAAAACATTATTTTTATAAGATAAGTTTGGTACATTAATATTGTGTGTGTATGTGTTTAGTTTTCAATTGATTCACACGAATGATTCTTATTGAAAGAAAGTCACTCTATAACGAACGTTTGTTCGAAGACAGACAAAATAAAATAAGAATAAAGAATTTATATAAAAGACTTCGTAATACAAATATGTTGACTTAATTATTGACATAATTATTTACATCTGTCAGAGTGTTCAATTAATAAGATCATGGTCCTATCAAAGTATACTCGTGTATAACAGAAAGTCCAAAATACACATCCGTTAACAAAAATTTTCTTATATATCGAAAGATAAAGTAATTCTGTGATATAAAATTCTCTATATCCGATATTCACACGTTGTACTACAAATAACGTAAGAAGACTAAGAACAGGTAACAGATAGAACTACGACAGTCAGTCAAAATTCTAGTCACTTTCAGCTATTGGATAATCTTTTTTTTTCGGAATAATGTGGAAATGGAAGGAAAGTGATCAATAGATTTTAAAGTTATTTTAGCGAGACTATTTTATGCATAAAATAGCAGAAAACTGTAATAAATAAGAAAAGTTAACTCTTTTAGTCAGAATTAAATATTAGAGTTTCGAGCAAGAGAATGTAGTATGAGCCTATGACATTCCCGATTTTGTAGAGCAGAAAATCCTTCATTTTTTGATCTATAAAGAAAATTTTTTTATGAATAGAACGTGAAAGAAAAATGAATTGACATTTAGAATAATTTTATTCTAGATTATCCATTCTACACAGTTATAAATAACTAAATAAAAACGTTTTAAGTGAGTAACATGAAATATTACATTCTAAGACTTTGATATGATATGGTATGAAAAGAAACTATTCATATTGCACATTCGAGAACGGTTTATATCGAAATTAGCGCATTACACAGTTTCAAAACGTCAAAAGTACTCCTCGTACAATATGAATAATACAGACAAATGTAGAAAAGATAAAAATATCTATAAATTATTTATTTTATTAAAAACTAAAAGTATTTCCTACAAAGAAAGAATGGCATATGCAAAATTAATCTAAAGACATAGACGTTGAAGTGAGAGTAATTTTGAATCTAAACTTAATCTCTGACTTTATTGTATACTGTAATAAGCGTATTTTTGGTTGTCGAAGGTGCATTGGATAACCAATAGAATGCTGTTTGAACACCTAAAACAAAGAAAACGAACCGTTTTTGAAAACAAAATGCTTACAACTTACGAGAAATAACTGTTGAAGTTAGAAAAAAGCTCATTTCTTACTGGTTTATCTACTTTATTTTTATAATTACAAACTACGATATTAGTATTAGTCCTTAATTAATTAAAACATACCAGAATTCCATGTATTAACAGCAGTATTATTTATTTCACTTGTCGATGGTATCTTAAATGGAGAAATGAACCATTATTTTCTCTCTTTTTTTTCTTATCCATTCTAGTAATCATACCTTATCAATAACTTCAGCTGTTTCCGGTAGTAAATTTCTCATCTTATCAATAACTTGTCTTGCATATTTATTTGTACTAAACACATTGTTATTAACAACCAAAAATGTTGCGCCACCAACAATCACCAATTTAGTAGTCCACCTGAATCAACACACGAGCAAAACTTTTTCTTGTAAAATCGACCACAAATAAGACTTAAAACTCTACGGTCTTTATGAAAAGAAATATTGGTAATTATAGTTCTTTTTCATCAAAAATCATTATCAATCTATTTTTTTACAGATTTTTTCGATAGTGCAATGTAGGTTACTTTTTATTGACAGAGTGATGTTTCAACGAAAATAAGGGTCAAAATATTAGGAGGTTATGTGTAAAACTGAATGTTTAGTTTAAGCTTTATTGCAACTAAGAAGGGAAAATAATCCACCTCTCCCGAAGTGGAAGTTCATTATATCAGATGTAGGCAGATTAGTGCCTATTGTTAAAACAAATCAAAAAAATACATCAACGAGTTGAATGTTTCGCAGGGGTAGTGTGAAAAAAACGATTTTTTAATAACCTTACACTGAAAAAAACAAAAACAAATTCAATTATTCCGAGAATCGGCTCTCTGGCAGGCATGGGCGAGTTCGAGTCCGGACTGGAAGATTTTTTGGCGGACTCGGACTTGGACTGGAGATTTTTTTAAAGGACTTGGACTTGGGTTTTTGTATTTCGAGTCCGATCTATTCAACTTTCAACACAAATGAGCAGAGAAAAATGAAAAGCGAAATAATACACCGTCTGTTTCACAAGAAATTGAAAATTTTGTTCAGAAAATAAATATGCAAAGTAATCTTATTTTCGACAAATCAAAGATCTATTCAGGGCTCAGTAAATTATAAAAGAGAAATAAACCACACCCATCAAAGAAAGAATCTAAAAAATTACCGGACTCGAAATGGACTCGATCCTTAATGCCAAGGACTCGGACTTGGCTCGGACTCGGTACTCCTCGGACTCGCCCATGCCTGCTCTCTGGCCCCCACTTCTGATAATAAGAAACAGTTCATAGTTAGACACATGCTTACTTCATAAGTGCTGACATTTCTTTAAGCGATATATAAAGAGAATTAAAACTAAATCTAAAAATGTAAACAAATTACGTCCAATTTACAAAAATTCACAATGATCAAAATATCTTGAATGGTAATTTATTGCAAAATAATGTGTAAGAGATCAACAGTAATCATATTTCCACTCAAATGATTAGACGCCTTCACTTTCTTCTACAAATCATCTACTAGTACGAAGATTTGAGATAGAAAAGTTAAACTAGACACTAAACATGAGCGAGAGACCCAGTTAAATTGATTATTATTGAAATTGGAGATGAGAAATTAATTTTTCGCATGGAACACTGACCGTAATCTGAATTATTTCAAAAATGTTTTAGTTATCGTTTTCTCAATTGAAACCTAACGATGAGCTCCACGAAATGCAAAAAATAAGCGCTTATTTCTTGAACATACAATATAACCATAATGAGTCATACTATAGACAATTGAGAATGGTTAACCTAACATCCAATCAGAGCGCAGTAATATCTTTCTACGGATTCGGAAATAATGCAGGCTTCTATTCGTTTCTTTCGATAGAAAAAGACACAAGGACAGAGAACGGAACTGAAATTTAGAATGAAAGAACCAAAAGAGAATAAAATAGAACAATCTACTAACTTTAATAACTTCACAAGTTAGACTTGATTATCGAATTGTCGAGTCAGTCACTATTATCGATGCAAAATTACTACGTAAGGTATTCCATAAAGAATAGCACTGTTTATATTTTTCGTTTTTCTCTGTTAATTTTGACAGTTGAGGCTTGGACTTTTTTCCAGAACATAGCCCATTCAATTCTCTACAAAATCATATGGAAAGAGTTCCTGTGAAATGCAATCTTGAAATTCTAGGCAGCCAATACTAGCAGGCGCCTGAAGAGAACCGTTACAAATCAGGTCCGACAAAACGGTCCGTAAACGGCAGTAAACGATTAAAAAACGATATATGTATGGTAGGCCGTATGTGTTACCGTATAGACCGTCCGCTTACGGCCGTAATGGTGCCGTTTTTTTATCATTTACTGCCGTATTACCACTGCAAGCGGTACCGTTTTGACTGTCCTGGAAATGTCCTTTTCACAAATTAATTATTGTGTCCCATCTGGCCACGAAGACGCCAGATCACTCTGGTGCACGTTGTTCTTTCTCATAGCGTTCAAAACAAGTCGGTCGAATTAGAAGATGATGGGCTAATGCCCATTTTCTTAAACTTGCTTGTATTAAATGAAGGTTTCAGTCTCGTACTCTCTATTTCAGAAATTTTATTTTACATCTTTGGTCTTTTCAGGATGATAGAAGAAGCAATTTTCTTCAAATTGGTAAAAGACTTGACCATAAGAATTATGTTTTGATCCAACTAAATCGTGGTTGCGAACAAGTTCAGCAGTAAATTCGAAAAGACCAAAAAGATAGAAGAAAAAGGAAGGCGATCTTCATGCTAGTTTAAGCATTGGAATTTTTCAATTGCGGCTCGTCTTATACAGCTTTTCTAGGGCTACAAAATGGCATATTCAGTCAAATAGTGGCGTAATATTCACAAAACGCAATAGTTAGTTTGAAAATGTACCTTTTTGAGGGCATGTCTGCGTTGACTGCATAGGATTTCACAGGTTATATTAACTCTTTCCGTATGATTTTGTAGAGAATTGAATGGGCTATCTTTTGGAAAAAAGTTCAAGTCTGAACTATCAATATTAACAGAAAAAAACGAAAAGTACAAACAGTATCGTTCTTTATGGAATACCCATTATATTTGTAATACGTAATATTCACTAGTCAAAAATCTCAAGAACGTTGGATAAAAGTTACAAGAATGCCTGAGAAGTACTCATATACAAGTACATTCACTTGATCAATCAATAAATGAAAATCACTGCACGTCTATTGGGACGCTGATTCTTATAAATAGTTCATTGCCATATTAGTTCGATACTTATTCGATTGCAGCTATCTGTCTGACCTTTAATCGGTCAACATTATTTTATGCTCGTGAAGAAGAGAATTTTTTAAGGATGAGAAAAATGCAGAGGGAAGGATTGTCACGTGGAATAAACATTACAATCGGGGACTGTCCACGCAATGTATGACTATTGATGGTTGGCAGACGCGGCAGCTGAGTCGGTGAGTTTTTCTGAACGTTTCTGAGATTTTTGGCCAGTAAATCAAGCATCGACTAGAAAAGTCAAGTACTTAAATTCTTTTACTCTCTTGTCAAGTACTTGGGCAATCTATGTTATTAAAATCGGGAAGAAATGGCTGATTAACGGCAATTAATCAACGATTAATCGTGCGCTCAATCGCGATTTTTAAGCAGAATTTCAAAATATAAAGTTAGATATGGTATCTTGTAGAGTATTGTGTTTTCTACCATGTGAAGTCGTTCCGAGAGTGTGTTAGTATGCGACGCTTGTGAATGAATACTCTTCATTTCGTCATTCTCTGATATTTCGTTCATACTATCGATAATATTTATATCATAAAATATTACTAATAGTACGAACGAAATATCAAAGAATGACTCATTTTTCTCCATACTGCTCTGTGTACTCTTTTCATTAATAATTTGATCGTATAGTACGTACACATTCAAGTTGCAAAACTCCTAAAAAGGGAAATTATAGTGACTATAAAGAGGGTATTCTTCTTATTATGAGTGAAGTCAAATTTGTTCTAATTGTTACTTTTGCTAATGTATTCTATATTTTAGAAATCTATAGACTGTGTTCTTGTTATCAGTGTTATGGATGCAGAGTATTTACATGCGTCTCATACTAAAACACTTCCATAGCATAGCATAGACTTTCAAGCATCGTAGATAATTTTTTTTCATACCATGTTGTTTTACATATCTTTAGAATTCTTAGACGTAGATATGGTATGAATAATAAACTAAGAAAAATCAATAGTTCTTAGATCTACAATACTTTTGTTTTCTTAAGTAAAACATCAATCTAATTATTGAAATTATAGAATACAAGTGACGCCAGCTGTATGGAATCTTAAGGACAAATTTTAATTAAAATTAAAATTTAAGTAAAATGTACACATAATCTCTTGTCTATTACACGACTGAGAAAATGTATTCATTACAAACAAAAGGGCGAGATGTTAGAAAATCTATATTGTTTCCACTATATTCTCGAATGATATTAACAAAAAAAAAAAAATGATACACAACTGATTTAATTGTACGCTGTAGTTTATTTTGAATAAATAGAAGACGCAAATATGTCTTCATTTGTGATTACTAAATTTATGGGATCTACTTGATAAATTAATAATAGTAATAAAATGTAAATGTAGGATAAGTGACAAGTAGCATCGGTGGTAATTGTAATTATCGACGTTAGAGTAGAAATAGACTAGATCTATATAAAAATAGTCTAGGAACATGTATGACAAACTAAAATTAGAATAGAGATCACGTTAAAAACAATGATTGTTATCGTATTTTATATCCTTACCCAATGCCGAGCCAAGTTTTCGACAAGGTACTTTGAATAATTTCTTTCGACATCTGAAATATATCACATTCTGTTAGATTAACCGAGAGCAATGCTAGTAGATGACTGGCGTCCCATCAAAAATCAACAATTGATTTTGTAAAAAATAGCATTTCAGACCGTGGCCCTCTCGGAATATCAATCTAACCTTCGGATAAATGAAACTTAGATAAATCACTGACCCTCCATAAGGTTGTTTTTTGATTGATCAGCTAATCGATCCATCATCGATCCATGGCGACTGCAATCAAAACTACGATTTCATGGTACACAATCGCGGTGACTGTGCACCATGAAATCGCAGTTTTGATCGCAGTCGCCATGAACTGTGACGGATCGATTAGCTGATCAACCAAAAAGCAACCTCATGGGTCAAACCAGAATATAAACAGCACTTACCTATTGCATCGTGCACATTCCAAATGATAATATCTTGTATCATGTCTAAACGCTTCTTCTTGGGCAGTGACTGGTCTAGTACATTTATCGCAGATGGGTATTCGTCCAGCTTGATCAGCTTGTATGCTTGTTACCTCACCAAGGATATTTTCAATGTGTGGTGCATGTTCTTTACCTTGATAAATTCCTGTTATGTGTTTACTACACGTCAAGCATTGAAATCGACCATCTAACATATCGACAAAATTATGACCTAAATATAAGAAAACAATTGCGATTTATTTTCTACACTCACTATGGTCGACCATTACACTCAATCCATAGATACTATGAAACATCTGTTTATAATAAAAACTTTGTTCGAAATAGGCGTATTCATCTGCAAATTGGCAGCATAAATCTAACATTAATTTTATACTCAGATTCTTGGATGTATGTATATAGCAAGCAGTATGCAATAAGCGTTTCATCGTGACTTTTCCCCCTTAATATATATAGTTTTAAATTCTAGACACTATTCTACATAAACAGTCAAAGAAATCTCTATTATCGCTATGTTGTCAATTCCTATGATAATTCTGAGTATGAAAGTAATTTTCGTATAAACACAGCTAAATATTGTCGTTCACAAGCCGCATGATGTCACACGGAGTCAGATTTTCTTCTTTTTTTTTCGCATCTAAATTACTATCCAAAACGATATCAAAAAAGAAAAGGAAAAGAAACATAGAACTTTTTTTCACAACGTACATTCTAATCAAAGTAATATGTATTGTTACATACGGACACGGATATACCATAGTTTAGTTTAGTTTAGTTTAGTTTTTGGATTAGAGCTGGCTAAAAATATTTTATTTTATTTCTATTTCACCATAGATTATTATCTTTGATTTGTTCTGGTATTTTACCATAAGCAACTTACCATCGGGTATAACGGCATTACATTTTGTACATCTAAACAAAAATATTCATTACATATGCTGATTTCATGCATTAACATTCTTTAACTAACCTAAAACAATCGCTATGATAATGTCTATTTTGATATCGTTTTGCTGTAACGCCAGATGGGATTTTCTGTTGACACATACAACAACTTGAAAAATAACATCAAATAACAAATATTATAAAAAAAGTTTGTAAAATACTTACACGGGTGCCAGTGCATTGTTACATTGTTCACACTGAAATAGATTATTTGGTTTAGGAAAAAATGGTTTTCCAGCCAAAGTATTTCCACATTCTGAACATGCAAAACATTGTGGATGATAATATTTTTCTTGATATATTTGCATTGCTTCACGTGGTTGAAATTGTCGTCGACATTTTTCACAAAATGTTTTCGTCAATGGGCGATTGGCAGTGGGACCCGAACTCATTTTTTACTGAATTGTAGTTTAAAGTCAAGGTAAATGCGTTAAACAACGATAGCAGCAATAACTGCTAGCAAAAGAAGAGGATGAGCAGATGTGTATGTGCTTATGTGTGTGAAGAGAGTCAAAAAAAATAAAGAGGATAAATAAGGGGTTAATACATCGTCGATTCTTCTTTTTCTCTTCTTTACTTCCCATTCCGGTGGATATTTATGATGTTTGATGATATTTTTCTTTTTCTGTTTTTTCGTATATATGCCATGTATGTACAAAAAAAGAAAAATGTTGTACTATATTTCTTTTTTTTTCTCAAATTCTCTCTCTTTCTCTCACCCTATAGGTGAAACCAAAATAACTCAGTTGTACACAAGAGTTCTTTCTCACTAAATATTGCAACAGAGTGATAATATGATACAATCAACGATGTGTAACATTTATAGTTTCAAAAGATGACAAATCGACCAATATAATGAAGTAAACGTAGTCAAATAATTTTGAAGATATTGGTTTAGTTCTGTTTGAACGAATTTTTTTAAAGAATTTGAAAAACTGAAAAGATTTTGCAAAAAACTATATTGTTAACTTTCGGTTAGCGAAATCACACTGTGAAAAATTGTTGTAATTGTTGATGTGAAAAAAATCAGACTATAGCGGGACACTGGGCAAAAATCGAGCTTGTTTTAACTACTAATAATAATTATGTCCTTCGTCACCTCACCATATGACAAAAAATAGCGCATTTTAATCGTGGTATTCATCCTAAGATATTCTTCATTATTATGGGCAGTTGTGATCAAAGATCGCATCTGAACGTGTCTCACAGAATGCGTCGAACACTTATCCGTCATACGTCTTAACTGAGACAGTGTAGTACATCTACACGTACGGATGATATCGTCTAAATATGTGAGAAAAAAAATGATTTTTTAGTTACATAATTTCAGTTGTATCCAATTCTTTGAATCAGCCTATGATTTGCATATTTCATATTGTTTTTTTTGTTTGTGATATTGAAATTCTTTCTTTCCAAACTAAATTTTAAAGTTGATAGTAAAGATATGACAACCAAAAGAAAGTTGTTCTTAAAACTCACTTTGTTGGTAATGGCGTGATAGAAAGATCATCAATTGCAAAGTAATTTATACTTGTTGGAGATAATGCTACAAATGTAACTAGACGGCAAATGTAACTAGCGAGAGTTGCGAATGCGGTGCGAAGCAGGAACAAGAGAATGAAGGATACGGCAACAGAGAACTCAGTTTTTTTGTTAAATTATGTACAGTATTGTCCGCAGGAAAGAACTGAATAAAGTGTAGATTAGTCACCTAAAAGAGTAATTGTCTTTTTCTGCTACTGATTCATTAAGTTTCAAAATGTTTGTTGAGACGCTCAAGTATCTCTCTATGAATGAAAGAAACAAGCTGAATTTTGGCTTTATCATACACACTACTTTATTATCTATAACACAGAAAAGCGTCTAGTGGCTAGTCATTACGTTAATTATTCGTTGAATACGTATAGAATTATAAAGTGAATCATACGATATGCGAACACTCTGCTTTAAAAGTGCTAGTATAACTCAGATTAATTATCCGTTATTTTTGAAAAACTACAAGTCTCAAACGAACACTTCAAACATTTCAAAACACCTTCTTTCAAGTCTTCTGATTAATGACTGAATTAGTCACAAAGTCTCAAAGAGGACATTTATTAATTCGACCTCACAGCTCACTGCTCCCGTTTAAAATTTTACGATAGCCCTTCTCTTTTACGAGAAAATCGTTACAGAAAATGACAGTTTATTAAGTAAACACGCAGTTTATTACTATAATGCGGTATGCTTCGCAACGCATTAACTATGTCAATATCACGCCGAGCAATTCGCATAGAACAAATGATTATTTTGAAGATCATTCTACGAATGAGAAAACATATCGGTATTGTATTAATGATTCTTCTCAAAAATTATTACAGTCTAGTAATTACGATCAGTTTAATGAAAAACTGTAAAACCTTGTCTGTATTTTTAGAATTTTGAATAGGCATCAACAGCCAGCTAGCGAAAAATAATGGTTTAGGTCCTGGCAAATTTTGAATATTTCACACGAACAGCAAGACCAGTACGTCCGCTAGAAAAAAGGTTCTCAGCTATCAGTAACATAAAAGTTAGATAGAGTTCGAAGAATTCTCTATGTGCTAATGAGGCATTCCAATTAGAAAGAAAAATATGAACAATATGAAAGACTATTGTTAGATATTATTTATTTATTATACAACCTTCAAATCTTTCTAAAAATGCTTAAAGATTCTACAGCAACTACTTGTTTTGCACATAATGTGTGGTTGTAATTTATTGATTGACGAGTATGAAGATGAGGATGACAGTTTCATGTCTAAGTTTTATAATAAACTTTCTGTTCATTTTCTTGTTATGCTGATTGCCACTTTTGTTTCAAACTTATGACACACGAATACTTGCGCTGATCTTTCCTGCAGCTGAACTTTCCCATGTTCAAAATTTCTCTCTGAAATTTCCTGGTACTAAACTTTCCGTTTCTCACTTTTCGTGAATCTATCTGACGAGTTTCATTTCATAGTTTCCGGTTCTGCAGGTGTCCTCCACGCTTTTGACATTTACGTATTTTATGTTACGTTTTTCCTTATGACTTGAAATTTATGCGTTTTCTTATCTTATCTCACGGGTTTTTCGAACTTTTTTTATTTTGCTATAACTATTGTTTTCAAGCTTTAGTACATACTTCTTTTAGCAATGTAGAAGACTCTCTTAATTCGAATGATGTAAAACCTGTTCATGATACAATTGTTCTCTGTATCCAGTCAACTAATCGTTTCAAAATGATATAAATCGTCACTTTCAGTTTTCTGTTGCATCTCACTCGATTTCTATCTAGATAGAGCGAAATTTTGTCGTTCTTAAACGACGCTTCGTATGATTATTAACTTCTGATTTTTCTTTTTTCAAAGCTCTATTACTTCTTAATTTAGAAAGCATGCTCGTTTTTTTCCTTTAACTGATGTCTACAATATAAATCCTCTGTATAGTAGTTACAACTATAGACACTTGATTATTGCTCTACAGAGTTTTTCAATTAATTTAAGCTAAAAGATTTGATTCCCAGTGCATGCAGCATTGTTTCAGATTGTGCCTTTCATACGTTCATCATGAGGTCATCCTCACTTTCTCTTCTTTTTTTCAATTATACTTGTAACACGTGATCGTACTCATCATCCTGTCCTGCTTTATGTACTTTCTCCTTTTCTACCTCGTTCTGTATGGGGTTCTTTAAAACAGTCATAACAATCTTATTTGTTCCATTCTTCTCATAACGCAAAAAACTTGTACAAAGTATCGAACGAGGTAGAAAAGGAGAAAGTACATAAAGCAGGACAGGATGATG